AAGGAAGTCTCTTTAGTCCTCTATATAGCTTATAATAAAGGCGGCTATTTCCAGGCGGCTATTATAATTCGTAAGATATTCGAAGTCTATTAGCTAAATATAGCTAAGGATACTAAAGATTATATCCTCGGATACTATTAGTATACTAAATATAGTACTACTCGGAGAACTTAAACCTTATCTAAAGTTATAGTATTAGAAGCTATAGAGTTACTTAGAGCGGACTAGATCGGACCGTTTCTAGACTTTAAAGATAGTAGAGTTCGTTAGATTCTTCTAGTAATTAATTATTTTACTTACTATATATCAGTAAAAGTATTTAATTAGAATAACTTGTTTATAGTTATTAAGTTCTTATTAAATATCTTCGCGGTATATAGTACTCTAATTAGAATCTATATAGACCTAGGACTATACTTTAGAGCTAAAACTATTAAATAGGTACGGTCTAAAGATATTATATAAACTATATCGCCGTTAGAAGCTAAAAAGGCTATAGGTATAGTTAAGAAAGTAGTTAATATCTTATAATGAGTTCTCAAAAAGAATTATCCGATATCTTAAAGTTAGCCTAATTACCTAGATAAAGCTCTTTATAACTTTAATAATTAGTATATTAGCTACCTTAGCTATAGTTCTTTTAAAATTATATTTAGATTTAAGGCTATAGATACTATCTAGAGATAGTTTCCGTCTTACTAGCGCTAGTCTCTAGGAGTAGTATTATCGGTCTAAGGAGCTAAACCTATCTTACTAGATAATACTATCTACGCGGACTTAGTAATTAACTATATAGTTAGATAATAGGAATTGAAAATTAAGGTAGACTAAAAGTCTAATCTAGTTAGATAGAAGACGAAAGAGAAGTATAATTTAGGTATTACTTAAGATATAGCTTTAATTCTAGGCTAACTTATTATATTATATAATAAGAAATAGTTAAGTAAGAAGATATAACTATATTAGAGAGGTGTCACGAATCACGTGTTCACGTGATACTTGTCATAATAAGAGGCGCAACCCTCGACAGGCACATTCAGATTTCTTATAGCAAATGGGGATCGCTTAGGGTAGCTAGGCGATCCAAGGATTTCTTCCTTACAGAAGATCATGTGACTAGGGAGTATGAGGAAGTATAAGGGAGGCTTATACTACTCTATACTACCGGAGTATAAGGAAGTATAAGGAAGGCTTATACTACTCTATACTCGGACCATACGCGGGGTATGAAGGTTCTATATAAGACTGGCACGTCTGCCATTAGATAGGAGCTTCGTGCTCAACTTAGTTATCAATCTTATCATATTAGTTTGACATCTTTGATACAAGTAACGAGTTCACTTCCAAGTGAACAACCCGATAGTCTTCTTCTTATCATAGCATACCAACCAGCGAACACCCAGCCAAGTTTAGTTAGCCAGTTTGAGTATTCGTTACAAGAGGACCTTTTATAATTAGTAGGTATAAAGGAGAGCTAGGAAAGTCTTATCTACTTTATTAGATTAATAGCTAACCTATTCGTAGCTACTTTTATAGTGATTACTTTAAAGCCTTTCGTATAAAAGAGAAATATTTAGTTATAATAACTAAATTAGAATTACTAGTATTCTAAAATATTCGTCTAGGTACTATAGTATTTAAGCTACTAAAGGACGTTCGTATAATAGCTAGGGCTTATCTAACTTAAATTATAGTTTTTAGACTCGCGGTTTAAACCTTAGAACTAGTTTTCTATATCGGCTAAGCGCTATCCGGTAATAGTATATAGGATTTATATTTCGGAGTATTCGCTTAGGAGGTTAGCTAAGGGTGTATTATATAATATAGACTATATCCTCGGAAGGATATAAAGTAATAATTTTAAAGCTTTATAAGATATATAGCTATTACATAGCGGTAGGATTATTTAATTCGGGTATTTAAGCTATACTTTATATATAATTAGAGGTTTTACCCCTAGGTTTTAAGTGGTCGGTCCTCTTATCGACTTAGAGGAGTCTATAGACCAAGGGGAGTAGATGGAGGGAGTAATTAGTCGGGTAGTTTTAGCGATACTAGTCCGGTTACATAGGCGCTAGAGTAGTTTTAAGGTCCGATAGTCGGATTCTTTAATCTACACCTTATTCCCACTGTACAACCCTGCCTTTATTTGCCGCCAGCTTCGCCCCAATTTATTTGACTTTAGATGCTCCCGGGGCGAACAGAACCTCAAGAAGCTTGATCAAGCTTCTTTCGCATGAATGTCTTTGAGGATGATTTGCGAATGTGAGGGGTCAACAATAAACATTTCAAGGGTCCGTGGCTGAGTTTGTCGGAGTCAACGAGAGACACGAAATGGGCCCGAGAAATACCCCATAATTCTATTCTCGCGCATTGAATGCTGTGGCTGGTGTCGGTCACGCAGTATTTTGTATTTTGCCGTTATTCCCGATGCTGAGTTGTGGGTTCATGAATGGTTAAATTTATCTGTGCCGTAGGTAAAGATAGGTGACGGGTTTTGGCATCAAGGCCGAGTGATTGAACCATCGATGCGAGTCTGGAAGTACAGCGTATGTGAATAATTAATAACCCTGCTTTACTGACTCCCATTTTTGTCATAGGTGACTCGGTTAGCAAAGTTCTAAACTTCTGCCACAGGAAAGGATTCATGTGGGTCTAACGTCTTCGATGAACCAGGAAGATCTGCTGATATACTTCGTAATGTTCTTCATGTTGTGACTCGAGTTTGAGGAGCAGAGGTTTACTGAGAGGTTGAACTCATCTCATATTCGGCTGCTGTCAGTGTGTCGACTTTGTGTGTGAGTGTAAAGTCGAGACGTTGCTTGTTTCATGGTGTCGGGCTCCAGATGCCTAGTGGGACTCATAGCGGAGCAACATACTGTGATCGCTGGATTTGACAGTGACGCTATTGACGAATAGAAGTGAATTTACATAACCGGTTGAGAAGGTCAGAATATTCTGGTCAAAACTCATAAGCATCAACTGGAGGACCCCGGGATTGAGATCGGCGTTCTTCAAAGTTGAGATTCGTTTGTCTTGGGAAAACGGAGAGTTGGGTCACGGAACCTGGGCCTCTAAGTGGCCATCACTCGCGCCTCGACGAACCCACTTAACAGTCGGGTTTTACCAATGGACTACCGGTAGCTTTCTGTGGCAAAGCTTGGCTTCACATCAAACGTGCACTTGAAAGTAATGATTGGCTAGGACAACCTCATCTCAACAACCCCGTTTGTACAGCACTGTACAGTACGAAAAAGGGGTAGCACACAAAATAAAAATGCATTCATGACGTATCGTAAAAAGATCATGTAAAAATTGTGCAGCTGATTTCATCATGACCCCACCATTTTCGAGAGCAAGTTTTACGTGTACGAGTAAAGAAATAGTGACTCGACTAGTCCGTCAAAGAAAAGCAGAACCTGTCATCCTCATCACCTGCCCCAGATATCCGGCTCACCCTTTATTTCGAATCCACAAACTGACTGCAGAGAGAGACGCAGGTCCAACGAGATGCAGATGCAGATGCGGCATGAAAACGACCCCAGATATGGCGTTCCTTCGGTTCTTATCGATTGTGCCTATCGCTTAACACTAGTCAGGGGCACTTTTGCATCGACATTTGTGCAGGTGGCTTGCCAGCGTAAGACAACCCCTCAATAATCCAAAAATGTTTCGCTAGTCGAGAACCCAAACACTATTAACCTATCAAGTCCCCCTTCATCGCATTCCACCCCCAGCATTGAGTTTTCTCTCGGTGATCGTGCTGAAAAGTGGCGTTTTTCAGATCATCCGGCTCAGAGACCTTCTGTGCATCGCCACTGGCTGCGTCTAACAAACACATAAATTTTACACCTCGGAAGATGCGACATCGTCCACAAGCTGACCCCCAAAAGTGCCGAAGCTTTTTTGATCCAGGATATGTTCAGGGTTCGGGGGCCCCCTTTACCAACCAACTTTTGATATGTCCGTGGAGGGGCAGAGGGGCTTCAAGGGGGCCAACAAAATCACTCGCCAAATTCGTGTGCGTTGGACGGTTCCGCCCTCCCTGGCTCAGGGGTGCCGCAACGCTGCGCGCACACCACAGCCAATTATAGGACCATATCAGCAGGCCTACCCTGCGACAATCCAGCTCCACAGAGCCGTCTGGGCAGATCGCCGGCCAAATGCAGGGGCACAGCGGCTGGTGAACATACCCGGGGGAGGAGACCTCATACCCATATTTTGAGTGGAGTCAACTTCCCAATGGAGGCGTCGGAGCTTCTATCATATAAGAATGTCCGTCCCTCTGCGTTTCAATTGTTTTATTTTGGCTCAACACCTTCCTTGGCATCATCGCATCTTTCCACCGTTGAACTTCTTCTTTTGCTACCCCGAGGCTAGTCCTCGATTTTTCGTCTTAGATTTCAATTCTTCACCACCACACCTGGGCAAAAAAACTCATAACATTCTTTTTTGATTGATAAAGCTGATTTATTCGAAAACTCCTTCATCGAAAAATTCCTTTCATCACACCCTCCTTTAGACAAAGACAGCGTCAAAAACTCGGTTGTTCTGATTGGATTGTCTCGAAAGTGAAAGAAGGTATGTGATTTTCTTTGTTGTGGATCAAGCGAGCGCCCAACCTATTGTCGCAAACCTCGCCTTTGACTCGCGCTTTATAATCATATTCCGGCAATCTTACAACAATGACCACAATAACTAAGTGACAATGCCTTTGACTTATTCAATATCATTGTCCTTATTATTGTACATAAGACTCACCTTATAAGTCAGACGGAACAATCGTGAATGTTCCTGAACAGACCTCGCTATTTGTCTTACTATTCTTATATATAATTTCTTGATCTGCTTCTAACTGGCTTTCTCAATTTTAGAACCAAGCACTTCTTGTACAACCACATATACAACCGCAACACTCTTTCCAAAACAACCAAACAGCTTTTTACCAACGTACCAAAATTAGAGTCATATTCTCGTCCGGCACCAGAATTACCACCAAGATGTACACATCTATCAGCAAACTCGTCGTCCTCGGCCTCGCTGCTGTCGCAAATGCACACATGGTCATGAACACTCCAATACCATTCAGACAGGATCTCAATAACTCTCCTATGCTCTTCCCATCACAATTCCCTTGCAAGCAACGAGGCGCTGCTACCTATGCCACAACTTCCCGTACCGATATGGCAATCGGATCCACACAGCCTCTCAAGTTCACCGGCAGTGCAGTTCACGGCGGAGGATCTTGTCAGATCAGCTTAACTTATGACACGGAGCCCACCGTGAAGAGTGTCTGGCGTGTGCTGGCGAGTATCGAGGGAGGTTGCCCGGCCGCTGGGACAGATGGCAATCTTGGGGATAACGCAAGTCAACCCAGTCCAACAGAATACACCTTTCCTATTCCCGATATTCCAACTGGTGACGCAGTCTTGGCCTGGACCTGGTTCAACAAAGTGGGCAACAGAGAATTCTATATGAATTGTGCACCTGTCACCATCGGTGCTGGCTCCGTCAAGCGCGACGAAGAAAATGCCACCATGCTTATGGAACGCGACCAATCAACATACGATTCTCTGCCATTGATGTTCACAGCCAATATTCCAGGTCTCTTTGATAACGAAACCCCGGAAGGATTTGATGTTGGATTCCCCAACCCAGGTAAAGCTGTCACCAGAATGGGTTCAGGAACACCTACGACCCTCCCAGGTGGCTCCCAACCTACAGGCGGTGCATCCCCGGCCAAGACTTCATCTCCTGTCGCTTCGCCAACTAGCACCACCTCACCTACAACTGGAGCTCCAAAGCCTACGTCTCCGGGACTTCCAGGCGGTGTCTTTGCAACAGTCCCCAGTTCAGCTGCCACTAAAGCACCACCAGCACCACCAGCTCAACCACCAAGCCCAAATGCTTCCACACCCGCTAGCCCATCTGCCAGCCCATCGCCATCGAAGAGTGCACCATCAGCTCCAGCCAGTACTGGCTCAACAGGCTCCGGCTCCGCACTGAGCGGCAAATGTGCAAGTGAAGGACAATGGAACTGTGTTGGAGGCACCTCATTCCAGCAATGCGCCAGTGGATCCTGGTCTCCGGTGCAACCGATGGCAGGTGGAATGCAATGTGAACCTGGACAATCATCTACTCTGAATATGTCTGCCAAATCGGTAGCAGTTAAGCGAGCCAGAGGCATCCGATTTTCCGAGGGACACGCCCGCCGAAACGCCCAGATATAAGATCTCTCCATGTTCAATAGCTGGTCCATTGAGCATTGTCTTTCTTTGACACTCTCCTCAACTATGATTTTTCTTTTATTTCTTTCTCCTCTTCCAATAGAGCATTTCGGCGGTGGCGTTTGGGGATTTAGGCATGCGATTCTTGTACATACCCTGTTTTTGTGATCTTTGGGCTTTTTATACCAAAGACAAACCACTGGACTACACATAACCATGACGAGCCACATGAACTAGCTGTACAGATACACAGCTGGAAGAATACACCTAGGAGATACCAATACAATGGAATCTCATTTAAAAAAAACCTTAGCTTCCCTGTGTATATTCTCTTGAGTAAATGACATGAAATGTTATCGAATAACGGCTATAAACCCTGAATAACAGAACGAAATCATGGATGGATGACTTTGTGACTTGACGCTCTTGATGTTCGCTTATGAATGCACGTGACCTCTCGGTGCTACCTCGGGACTTAGTGGTCACCTGGGCACTTCTTCTCAATCCTGCAGGTGATGAAATGATTTGAAATGTGCATGGATGCGTGATAGCCACAAATTCACAGAAACCATGAATGCAATAGTCATAGTATATATAACACAACGTCTTCGTACATCCCTGTGCGACTGATTCGGTTGTACCATGTATATGCTCACGTGACCTACCAAGAGTCCCGGTCAGGATGGTCTAGGTAGGTTATGATAAGCTTAAGGGGAGAGTAATAATGACTGACTATTGCATCCAGGTTGACTTGCCACAATCTCATTGAATTCAACAAATCACACGTCACAAGGCTTTGTAAAAAAGGATAATCTCAAGACAGCGATGCCACTTACTGGACTATTCCTGGTATTAACCTGCCTAGAAGACTCAGATAGCCTCTATTTCCTTGACTGTGTTGCCATATTTTAGAGTAGTTAATCATTCAGGTCAAGGGCATTTTGCTTGTTCCTTGGCTCAAAGTCAGGAGCATCGAGTCAGTTGCCGAAAGAGTAAAAAGAAACAAGTGTCAGGACCAGTCGTGATATATGAATGGCCAACCAACGCGACTTTGGCAGTAATTTTGGACCAAAGGAATCCTCGAACTTCTTTTACAATCAGAAAGAAGTTGACCGGGTAATACAGCGAGTAGATCAATGCTCAAGAGGTGGTCGTTGTAAGAAATGGTGATTTTGTTGATTTTCTTTTTGACAAGCCATTCGCAAGACATGAGGTGCGTCACAGCCTAAACTTTTGTACCATGGAGTAAGTAGGGCATTTGTTGTTAGTTCCAGGCATCGAAGACTTCTACGAGGCTCGAATTATCCTATTTTAGAGCGAAGCCTAAGTATGTATGGCTGGAGGACTGCGAATTATACCTGATAGGACATTCTGGTCTCTTAGAGCAGACTTGCTAGACTCTCTTCTTCGATTACTAAGTAGTATAACAATAGACGCCTTTATATTCATCTCTTTCCTTTTTTCTTTGTGGCTATCTCCTCCTTGAAAAAACCTCCTTTGACAAATGAGTCTCTTGCCACGGCATTGATGATGCTGAATCGTTTAGGCCCAAGCTGATGACCACCATACCATCTAGTTACAACCACCATCACATCCCATAGCTCCATGAGTTGCATCAAGTGAAGAAGGCGCCCACCAGCAGCTGTTTCCCCGTCGTCATCACAATCCTGAAATGTCACCCCATTCTCTCCTCGGATCCTCCACGCCGTTATGTTATGTGTTGCGGATCGAACTTTCTTGTCAGAATCGAGAAGATGTTGGAGGTACTTTGCTGCTTGATCTGGCGAAGGGACCCCCGAACTTCTGGCCACGAAGACGGATTTCATTTCGACTACCACATCAGAGAGAGCCCAAGGAGGTTCCATATGGACAGATTCATCTGCTGGTGGGAATGTAGTGCAATCTGACTCGAAAGAATCTAGACTATCATCGGGAGGAATGGTGTCTTCCGTCGCGCTGACGACTGGAAGCTCGGTATTCACATCCTCGATGGCATCAAACAGACAAACCTCACCCGGTTGGAAAACTCGGCCAACAGCCTTGCGGAATCGTTCCACAACTTGTGCGGCTTCTCCCTTTCGTTCTCCGGAGCTGTGGGCACCCAACACCGATGGTGGTACTTTGGGATAGCTGCTCGGAAACTGGATTCTCAGAGAGACGTGCTGTGCTTGTAGGTGCAGGACGTAGACGGCACCATCGCTTCCCATGTTTACACCGTCGGCTACTAGCGAGTCATCGCCGTATATGGAATTGATAGCCTCAATCTCATTGAGTAGGTCTTCGCTCATTGTTGACAAGAATGGACAGTCAGATTTGGAAGGTCAGCGGGGATGGACAGCTCTGCGGGTAGCTGCATTTGAAGTGGGTGTGAAGGCAATCCTGGCGCTTAGCGACCCGAGGTAATGCCGTTGGGCGCCTCCCAGTGGTGGTCAAGAAAAGTGGCAGAGATTCATTTTTGACTATTATCGTAAATTGTTCCAAAGTATTAAAATTTTTAAAACATCTAAAACAATTATCTTTATTGTCCTATTGATTCAGTAATCATTTTGGTTAGTTATGATAAATAACATAATAGAAAAGTCTTTAGTAAAGTTAGGCTAACATAAAGGAAGTCTCTGCGGCTTTTCTTGTCCACTAGGAGGGCGGGCGCTTATAACTTCGCCTCCTTGTAGGCAGCCGTCTTTTATCACAAAACAAGCCCTGGACTTCTACTCCTTTTACAACGTTAAATGCTTCAGGAATTCTCAGCCGTTCTCTGCACAAACTACTTACACAGTATACAACGATACTATTATTTGAAATGAGAATTCTAACTCTCAAAACACCAACTGCAACGAGTAGCAAATATGCAAGTGCGATCAGCACAGCCGCTGGCAGGCCAGATGCAGGCCACGAGAACTTTTTTTGTGCAACATTCTCCAAAGCGAATTTCCCCACTCTTGTAGCCAATTGCGAACAAGGTACCCTTAAAATAGTTGTTGGTTCTACTCGTACTTCCTTTTATAAACTTCGCTACAGTCTCTCTTCCCATCATGTTACACCTTCAGTTCTCTCTATCAACAGCCTGAAATGTTTACTCTAAATTATGGCAGAGGCTTGCCTCCACAAACACAATGGAAGCCTCGCACTCTTCGTGCACCTGTACTTGGCTCCTTGGTTCTTGTCTCTGTCGCCTTGATTGTGTTGCTAGAAATCCTTTCATTCATCAGCCGGCGAGACCACAATGATAACAGCGGGGCCTTAGTTTTTGCACCTGACGTTGATATTATATCAAACCGAGCGACGTTCGGGTAATAGATATTACTCGTTTACTAGGACTGTAAAGCTAACTGCGTGCAAGGTATCTTTACCTGCCAACGGTACTGGCGGTTTTATACAGCCTCGTATGGAGGTCACACCTTTGCCCCTTTCTTACTTGAAGCTTGCTGATTATTGTGCAAAGCTGGGTAGATCTAGATGCGAAGCGGTTGGAGCCATGGTTCCAGCTCTCCAACGCCACTGGGGCAATGGCTTCAGATTCAATATGCCTTTCGTACCCTACCGATTTCCTACCCTTTGTCCCTATCTCCGCTGCTAGGCGCAATTAAGCATGCAATTCCTTGCTCTTTATGGTTCATTCTGACGATGTAGGCATTGGCGTGTCTTTTTCAGCGGTACTGTAATGCTTATGGTATTCTGGATCATAACACCATTGCAATATTCGATCTTCAATACTCGAACTGTGCTATGGTAACCCCGGATTTGCCGGTTTGACCAATTAGACTATTGTATTCGCCGTACAATAGATTTGCGGAATACTATTATGGGCGTCACAAATATGATCTATTCTATAATAAGCTTTTGTTGTGGCTTGTTACGGTGTAAAACGAGTAGGGTGGTAGGTGTGGAATAAGGAATAGAATGTAGCAAGTAAACATCACAACATTATACAAATTTATATAAGGGTCTGTATTCCCTAGCCCTTCTTGCTTCCCTACTACTACTGTTCTTACTAAGACTTCACTTCGTCGATAGTTTGAAAATAGCTAGACTAACAAGAGTACTACCACAGAAAAACGGCGAAAAGCCGCTAAAAAGACAGGTAATACTAAAAAAGGGACGAGGAGGAGAGAGAGTTAGTGCCGGACGTAAACCAAAGGCGAAATAATCGCATCTGAGAATAGCTTCACTTTTTGCGTGTTTGTTGCGTAGAGATCGTGCTTTAATTACTTCTTCTTTTGGGTTGCTTTATTTACTTTCTTAGGCGAGGGGTGTGCTTGAATTAAAACCCAACTTTATTTATCAATAAAAGTGACGAATAATTCGCATCCTAGAAGTGATCAAATAATACCGTCTAATCCACCATGCGTACTAATTGACGAATCACTGGTAGTGTTGATCAATTCGTCGATTTGAGGGTTGCAATGGCACAGAACCATCACCCGGGTCGCTTCAGTAGATATTTTCTACCTCCCAACTCCTCCCCATCAGCAAGCAAATTGACGCCTTGAGCGCAAACTTTCTTTATACCGCATATGGAATCACCTGGCTAAACCAGCAGCTGCCTCAATTTACTACCCGAACCCACGCCATCACTCCCTTCCGCCCTGACGTTACAAAGGAGACCTTAATTAGAGAGACATGGTCAACTTCAACTGATGCATACAGCACAACCCTTGTTTGCACCCCTGCAAATCCGACTTTTAATGAGAGTTCTAATTATTATGAGTTTGATAGCGAGAGAGGATGTAAAGTTAAACATATCGCCCCGATGGGACAAGGCCTACGTTACTGGGTCAACTATATTGGTTGGTACAGTGATCCGGAACTCGACTATCATTTGGCCGATTTGAACGATTGCCCACAAGAGCATTCAAACAACTTCCTTGCGATTTGGGCAGAGCAGACGAACCGTAACACCACAGAATATAGCCCCGAACATTGGCTGGCTGGTATGACAGCAGTGTTCTGTATTCCGAGTTACCACGTCCAACAAGCAACAGTCACAGTAAACGCCACGACCCAAGCCATAGTTCCCATAGGTATCGACAACATAAGATCTACCATTCAATCCTTGGGCATTGAACTCACCGCAAATTCTACGGTATGCAAGAATCAGGTGGGAGAGAGGTCCTTCACTTACATAATACCATCAACACCTTCTGGTAGAGAAATCTTGAGAACAGCTGAGAATCCTACAGTCTTGGCACATAGTCAAACGGACGACAGGATCTGCCCGTCGGTCCTCATGGCTGAATTTAGTAGGGCAGGAGGTCCAGAACATTACAGGGGAAACTTCACTGCTGGTCTTGATCGAAACGTCAGTAGCACCTGGATCACTTGTTCCCCTTCACTGGAAGTCGCTCCTTTCCAAGTTACAGTGGATCTGGCGGGTAACATTTTAGCGTCAAAGCAAACTGGTAAACTCAATTCTAACATCTCCTCATTCTTTACGAACAATTACAGCCCGAGCACCTTGTATCGTGACATGAACAAGCAATTCACAGCGTATGGCTCCGTAGCCGAGTGGCACAACGATACTTTTACTACAAACTGAATGAGCACTCTTCTCCAATTGTCTCTAAATACCACTACAATCTCCAACCCACACACGGATCCACGAAAAGCTTCTCTAGTCGCTCCAGCCATGGAACATCTATATCGACAGCTCTTCGCCACCTATCTCGCACTTAACCCTACAATGTTTCTCCCAGCTTCTCCCAGTACCCCAGATATGTTGAGAGAGGTCACCTTCCAAGAAACCCGCATCTTCGTCTCATTTGTCAATGCCAGAATCTCTGTGGTCATAATCTTTCTCCACGTACTAGTGGCGGTCTGGTATTATGCGAACAGACCGAAGAGATTTTTGCCAAGGATGCCGACAAGTATTGCGAGTGTGATGGCATATGTAGCTGCTAGTCGGGCTGCAGAGGACTTTAGTCGTACCAGGAATCACGATGGAAAGGGGCTGAAATTAAGCGAGGAAAGATATGGCTATGGGAGGTTTTTGGGGAGGGATGGAAAGACTTATATTGGAATTGAGAAGCAGAGGTTTGTTGTGCCATTGGAGAGCCTGAATCCCGACGAGGAGTAAGATGGTTGGATAGGGCTCGGATGGTTGGATAGGGCTCGGATGGTTGGATAGGGCTCGGATGGTTGGGAAGGATTGCCAGGCGTGATGGAAACAATGGCAATAAGAAATATGGGAAGGTAGAGAGTTGGATTTGAAAACGACTCTATGATGTAACGACTTTTCTTTGTTAGCGTATCCTGTTACGATATATTCTATGAGCATAATAACATTTCCCTGGTAGTTGCGCCTAAAGATGCAAGAGACCTGGTTATATACATACGGCCGGACGGCCTGCAGGTTTACTGGTCAGTGAGACCACTAGGTGAAACTCTGGAACATATTTGAAATGCAGCAAATGATATTATACGAGACTTTTAGAACAATTAAGTTGATTGTCCTAGTTAACTTAGGTTAATAAAGATATATTAATTTAAATTAGACTAAATCGCTTAGATAACCTTTTAAATTATGCGAGACTTTTAGAACAATTAAGTTGATTGTTCGAGTTAACTTAGGTTACTAAAGATACATTAATTTGAATTGTTCTAATTTCTAAATTGCTCAGATAACCTTTCTGATTATACGAGACTTGTAAGGTAATATCTTTTTTTAACCTAGGTCTGTCTAGAGTTTCGTATAATCGGCTTACTCTATACTATATTATAACCTTGTAAAGCCTATATATATAAGTACTATACTATATTACGAGATATTATTAATCGTAAAACACAAAATTCTATAGTATAGTCGAAAGACCTAGAGAGTAGTGTAGAACATAGAAAGCAAACCCTTTCTAGGACCCACTTCTTCGTTAGACATTTCTTTCCTAACATTTCGCACTTTAGGCCTTACAATGTGATAGTGCTTCTGACAATAAACAGTTATAGTATAATTATATGCAACTCATTACTCAACCCCCCTCTATCTCATCACCCGATTCTTCATCCTCCTCGCCAGTCCCTGCTTATTAGGCGGCTGATCAGGATCAATACCCACGAGACAGTTCACAGTCTCAGCACCCTCATTAGCATCATTGATCGCAGTTCCAATTGGACCCACCCATTGACTCGTAAGCTTGATATAAGAGTCGAGAATTTCCACAATGGCTTTGCCAACATCTAAAGCCTTCCCAGCCCAAGTCTGCGAGAAGTAGGTTAGTAAATCCCGAGCTGATTCCCTCTGTCCCGCGTCGATGAGGGTTTGAGCGCTCTTCTCCACCCAACCAAGGTCTGAACGAGATTGGTTTTCAAATCCCTTGAACATAGTTGTTACAACCGGGAGGAAGGTATCGGGGTTGAACATGTGTAGTATAATATGCGCTTGAATAGACGTCCAGCAAATAAGGACGCTTCTTGCAACTGGAAATCCGGATTCAGGAAACTGCTTGGTGAATCCTTCGTCAGATACCGGTGTTCCGCAAACTCGGGTGGGACCGCGTCGTCTTTCACACCTAGCCACCAAGGGACATATGGTGCTGTAATAGATCCAGTGGGTGCAATCCAGATGCGAATCATATCTGGATTCATTCCGGCTTTGAGGCTGACGACCTGTCCATAACCAGCCTGATCATCAGAAATGCGAAGATCACGGACACGCTCAATCAAGTCCGCTTACGTGACTGGAGCCATAGCGAGCGTAGCGTCCTCGAGTTGTGCTTGGGACATGTATTTGAATCCGCCATCTCGAGCAGAGACATCCGGCCCTTGAACACCATATACCTTGAAAATATTGAAGCTCTCATTCTCGGGATGATACCAGCCTTGCTCGACCGCAAAACTAACGAGATTTGGCGAGCCCATGTAATCTGGATTCCCGGTGAAGTTTGTTGGAAAATCCTCGATATACCCAGGGTACGAAACCCGCACTTCGTTCGGTCCAAGACGCTCGGCTGCCCATAATTTGGCTCCTCCTGCGAATTGCCAAATCACCCATCCCTCTTCTGCATCGGCGATGAGATGAGAATTTCCGCCATACGTCGCATATCCATACTTTGCAATTAAGTCCCCCATAACCTCAACAGCTTCTCTAGCAGTGCTAGCTCTTTCAAGCGCAATACGTGCAAGATCGCTGTATTGTAATCCATGTTGTGGGTTGGGAGTCATGTAATATAATTCGTCTCGGTTACTGGCCCAGATATCTCTGATCGCAACACCCTTCTCATTCACACCACCATTTGTCAATGGAGCCGGGAATCCCTCGAAGTCGGAATATTCCATCGAGATGTATCGGAACGTGTGAGCGACTTGAGGAATAGTCATGAGTTCTCCGGGTAGAGTAGCATCCTTGGTAACACCAATGGTGATGGTCGCATTAGGAGGATGGTCTTTGGCAGGAAAGATTTGCAGCCAATGCGATGATACTTCTTCTCCAGTACCACCAAGCATTACACTCCCGTCCGCAGTGAGATTTTTCCCAACGTAGAAACCATGGCTGGCGGTTGATTTGGAGACCAAGAAGCCAAGAATAGCGACCAGTGTGGTGGGAAATGTTAATTGAAGTGCCATGGTTTCCCAGGATCGCAATGCAGGAAGGATGCAGGATGACGGGAGGACCAAGATCTCGGTACCGAGTGCTCCTACTTTGGGGTTCAGTAAAGGTATATAAAAGCTTCAAAAATGGGGTGTGTCCCGCCAAGATAATATAAGAGGCTCCTAGTGGACAAAAGTGACGGAGACTTCTTTTATCGTAGCCCAACTTAACTAAAAACCATTATGTTATGTTGTTTTTTTAGACTAGTCAAAATTATCAATCTCAAATAATAGGACAGTAAAGGCAGTTGTCTAGATATTTAAAACACTTTGATACTTCGAATTAACTTACGCTAATAGTCAAAAAATGAACTTGTCCACTGGGAGGCAGGTACGAGATTGCTTCACAGAAATGCGTAAAGGACTACCCTAGAGTCGATCACTTGAAGACGTTCAGACCCGCGCAATCCAGATATCCAAAGATAAAGCTGACTAGCAAGTTGACAATCGTCACTACCGTGAATTATAGACAGCACACTATATAAAGTGAGCGCAAACCTATAAACAACACAAAATCCCGCATCCAAGGTATGACAGCCAACGCATGAAACCTCCGGGTCCTGTTATACAGTGTAACTCGTCCCAGGGTATCAAAATCACAACTTTTCTTCCTCAAACTTCCCACCTTTGACATCGTATCGCCAGCCCATAAATCCTAACATTCCAGCGATACTACCAGCACCCACACCCCCAGCTACACCCCTCCATCCTAGATGACCCCCTTTCAATGCAGCAGCAGTACCACCGGCCAGCATCCCCGTATATGTCCAATCGTCGCATTCAACTTGTCCCTGGTTATATAAAAGTCTGTAACTCCTGTCTTGCCATTCAACTGGCTCTTTGCCCCGCATCATCATCGGTAGTCCCACAGATAGCATACCCGTCCCAATCGCCGCACCGACGCCCGTAGAATGCAGAAGAGTGGTTGCGAAGGATGATGGTATCGCGCTCTGTTTAATAATCTTATAGTTTCGGAGAAGAAACATCGATGTGCCGATTCCCGTTCCTGCTAGGGAACCGACTTGGAGGCCGCGTGTGAGGACATGCGTGTAGAGGATTGAACGGCTGTACGGTTGGTCCTCTGCTTGCTCGGTCTTGGGCCAGAATCGCGACATTATCAGATAGTTGGGGAGTTCAGATGAGGAATTGGGGCCTTTTGAGGTATGAGGTGTAGCACAATGCTTGCTGTGCCTGGGAATAAAGGAAACCGGGGTAGCTGGCATACAAGCTCTGTAATTGTCACTTACATGTACAAGAATCAAGCGAGCGAAAACCTATAGGAAAAGGGGGTACGGAGGAAGGACAGAAGACGGATTACAGTTCTTGGGTTGTTGGAAGCAGCTAGGCTTCTGGTTATGACAGAAGAAAACTTGTAAGCGCTAGAAGGGCTCTAGATCGCGTAGAAAAGCCCGTCTCGGGAAAGTCGTGCGAGAAAGCTGCGATAGGACGGTCCGCGCTCCATCGTGCCTCTTCCATTCGAGCCAATGGGCGTTGGAATATTTGAAAGGAACAATTGAAACTGTTGATGTCTGATTTTACGGCCGCAAACTTTGTCAGCGGGCCGGGCTCCGGTCGGACATGATCGGATATTTTTGGACTTCCATCGCCGACAATTTGAATCCCGAAACCACCTTCATGGTCCAAGTCCATATTCTTTATATCATTTGGAAAACATGTGCGAAAAATTACAGCATTGCCGAAAATGCCGGCACGAGTCAGATGGACCCTCATATTTCGAGGGGCTCGCGTTAGACAAAAAGCATGGCGGTTTCAGCGGTCTTGGTGGTCTGCAACTGCAATTAGTCCTCGTCTCTGAATTAGGGAATTATGTATGAATACCTCGAGGAATACCTACCTATTTCTAAGTACAAGAACATAATTGGTTAATACGGCATCCTAACCATAGTTGGGATAATAAAGAGGCAATCGTAAATTAAAAATTATCAAATTGTAATGTAGAAATCAAAAAGGCTTCCGTGTTAGCTGGTTAGCGGACATGGGGGAATGATTTAGCTTAAGTGGGCGTATTGCTAGGTGGAGCAGCATGACCCAAGGGAAAGATAAAGGTGATGGACAGCTAAGAGTGCTACATGTAACGTAGATCATATGTGAGAAAGTATATTTTTAGAAAACGTGAGGTTCTCAATCACTGATTTCGTTGGAAGTCTGGGTGGAGACACACTGTTAACTTGCAAGGTGTGACTCTTAGCTGTCCACCCCCTTCACAAGCTATAGTAAAGAAGCAAAAAAATGAAGGTAAATACTTTGTTCTAGGCGAATTAACTGTAACCTTTCTAAGGTGGCTGAAATGGGTAGAATATTTTCCCTGGAAAGTCTACATTTATTTCGTCAGGGACGAAGTAGTAGGAAAAAATCGGGTCTGATTGGCCAGAAAGGAGATGAGGACTAGAAACGGAGAATTAATGAGGGAGATGAGCAAGGTGGTTCAAGAGATATTTGTGACTATTTTATACCTTCTTTTATCTGTTTTAGAAGCACCAAGAATCCGTAATCCGGGTAATAAATTTGTCAAACAAGGTAGAAAAAGGCACGTCTTGTGCAAGTGTAATTATAGAAATTGGCAAAGATTGGATGAACTTGGCTAAGAAAAATAGAAAGAAAAATACTTTACCCCACTAATTCATTCCAGAAGAAAGAGGGGCCCAAAAAACAGACTTTTGGAATGAATACCGTGGTAAATCGTCCTTAGAGAAAATGGGTGGATATGTCTCGCATGCTTGCCAAGGGGTAGTAGAAGTTGAGGATCACTTTTCAAGCCACTTAGAGATGAGCTTTCTATGGGTCCCTAGGTAGAAGAGACTGACCGCGATCTTTCACGTATAAAAAACGGCCTTCGCCGCAGATATACCTCCGTGATAGATAAAGAATTGAGTTGGTTCAAAGCTTAAGTGCTTGAATACATGGCTTAGGTCACCAACCGACTTTGCTTTGTGGGGAAGATGTTGTTAAAACAAGAAATATTATGTAGGAGTGCACGTTCTTCGGCCGCTTTTATTCTGGAAGTGATTTCACTCATATAGAAGTAGAAGTGCTTGGAGTAGGGTGTGAGAGGAGGCAGACGCGGACTACCCAGACCCTTTACTACACGTCAATTCAAATGACTTCGTATTCCTTCATCGCACTTGCTCTTGGAATACGCTTAATAATAGCCTGCCAGATTCGGTACCAAAAAAAGGGAGATCATTGTATCGAGGTTTTCCTTTGGTGCCTATTTTTATCATCAAAATAAACTCAAAATTGACTTCACATAAAAGCCAAGATGGGCACGGAGGAACACACCTCAGGGTTCTCCAATGTTCTCTAGGCGCCAAGAAAGAGTCGACTTCTCTCAGGCGCCGAGCTGTCGGTCTTTTCAACATGCTTATCACCCCTGGCATAAATCGCTTGGATAGAAGGCAATTGACGTGACATGGGGATTCCGAGATGCTTTTTTATGTACCGTTGATCAGTGGACATATGATAGAATACCAAGAACTGATTGTTCTGCAGGCTGATTTTGTATATATGAGAGGAGTCCTCCCCAAATTTTCCGGGTTTCTTGCCCACCTTCATCATCCCTCACTTTCGCTTTTCCTTCCTTCTTTCTTACGTTCTTATGGAGCTTTTCGTTAAACTCCATTTGGAACGCTACATTCTTTATACATCACCTACCACATTCGTTTTGTAATACTACACTCCTTCGATTCTAACACGACTCTCGTCTCTTATCGAGACCCTCATTCTTCTTTCACTTCAATCAAACACTTTTATCTATTCTACATTCTACCTCTGTAGCCATAAATTCAGCTTCACCATGCTGCTTCCCAGCCTCATTGGCGTGGCCACGGTCCTTTCCACTTTAGTTTCTGGGCTTCCCGTCGCAGTACCACAAAACCATGGAGTGTCCTTGCATCTTAAAAGGAACCCCCCTCTTATGCCCCTCGACGAAGTCTTGATCGCTTCTCAAGCCCCGTTCAAGAGAGAAGCTGCTCCGGAGCCACAGTTTCGTATGAAGGCTATGAGCGCTTTGGGAGCCGCAAAAGATGCAATAAAAATAGCCGCTAAGCAGGGGGGGAACAAGGCGAAGAGTATGTATGCTACTGGAAAAGCGAAGACGAAGAGTACGTATGCTACTGGAAAAGCGAAGACGAAGAGTACGTATGCTACTGGAAAAGCGAAGGTGAAGAATTTGCCAAATTTGCCAGAGGATATCGTGCGTCACCTTTACAAGGACCCAAGGACACCAAAGACAACAAAGAGGGAAGCCGGACCACCGGAGAAACTCACAACTCCGACTGTTCCTAAGAAAGTCAACGAGCCAGTCAAGAAAGGCGCTGTTGATTCAAAGAAGGTCTCAGGTGTTGTTCAGTCAGCGAAGCAGAAGATGTGGTTTAACTTGGTAACTTCTCCTGGGAAAGACTTCACCAAGAGGGAAGCCTCGCCAGAGCCAGGAACCAAAATTGACGCTTTGAAGGCTCTCGTTCGGCCAGCCAAGGCAAGTGTTATTTCTTCAAAGCAGAAGGTAACATCTAAGATCAAGGACAAGTACAAGGCCAAAAAAGCTTCCAGAAAGAGTAAGAAGGTAGACAAGGCGATGGCCAAGTGGGAGGCTCAGCGATTGAAGGATCTACAGGCAACACTTTAGGGGGAAGCTGTACGGGTTCTAAAGTGGGAGTCAATCTTGGTTAATTTGTAACGGCTATATTTGTAACTACTTAATTAGCTATTCCTTGAGCTCTCTTTGTTATACACATTAATTTCCTCATTTCAAAGCCCTTGACTTGCCTCTTTCTTAATTTGTCTATGCTTGGAAACTGGGGCATCGATAATAGAGGTATACTCTGCCAATTAATAGGTAACGTCAATCCTTCTCGTCTTCTTCGCCATACCAAATTGTAAATTTCAGGGATTTTTGAAATTGGCCACTCTTTGGTGGGTGACAGGAAGTTTGCGGTGGTTTCCAGGGATTCCAATCTTGAAGGTTATGTATACATCAATATTGAGGCGAGGAATGACAATGTGCGAAAGATTATCAGAAGAATTGTTAAACACAAAAGTACGTAGTATATCGAATCGCACCAAGGCGAAAGGGGTAGGTCAGGTGACTATGCATAGAAAACTGGCACCACTCTACATACGCTACCCGCAATGGTGCTGTCTCATATGTACTATATCATAGACGGTTGATGTTACTTGGGAATATGTGTCCCGTGATTCGCCTCGAACAAAACGAGTAAATACTCAAACTACAACCTGATGCTAAACGGGAGGTCTTTTCCGGCTGTTGACCTATTTATATATCCAACCACAAGATCTGAATGATTTCTAGTCTGCTTCACAAGCACAGTAGAGAATCTACAATGAACCGTACCTGGTAATCAGCCCAAAGGGGCCTCTGAATCACTTCGAGTGAGCAACAATTTCCTATAAAATACTTTCGGAAAAACAGGATTCCATTTCCCGTCCACTTGCCTCGCAATCAACGTTCCATTCTTCCAAAGATCTCTCATGAAATCCCGAGAAGCATTATGGTCATCTTTCATGTGTTTCTGCCAATGATCCTTTCTCGAGAAGCCAGAGTCAAACCATGCTTGAGAATCAGGTCCTTCGAGTTGAGCTGAATCTCGGCACCAGTCCTGCGTGCAAAAGTACTTGATGGCATGGTCGTGTACAGAATTGTTGTGCCTCTCCAAGTCTTTAGGTGAAGGAAATCTCTTGGTGCATTTCTGGCATTGCGCTGGGCGGGTGTGGTTCTTGTGATGGCGTCTAGTTTAGAAGATTTATGAAATTGATTATCACAATCGTTGTAAGTAACTTACCGAAGGTCGCACTGCCTGCTAAAGGTTTTCATACAGGACTTTCCCTTGCTTTCAAAGGTGCAGGTAAAAAGATTTATTGATCTCGAGACCATAGTTGGATCACTTCTCGCCCATCGAGTTCTGCTCGTTTGTTCAACCATGGGAACTTCTATTTGCGGAGAAATGATTTGCGGATTCAGGGCAGAACAGTGTTTAATACGGTGAGGAGACGAATATTAGGGTAGAGAAGGAGAGTTTGATGATTGGTAAGTTATATTGAGGAGCGTATTTGGGGATATAAGGCTCCGAGGACTCACGTCGTACCTTGACGGTGACTATGTAAAGGACCAGGGCCCCTGTACTGTCAGCCGAAGTGCCAGAGGCAGGATATAAGGATCGACTTTCCCACATTGATTCTCGATGGAAAGTTGGCATGTCAAATACTCGGAAGCAAGTCTTTTGGATTCGTCAGCTTGCCTCTTCACCTCCTTATTCGCCGACGCATCTTTCACCACCCAACATGCAGTCACATTCGCCCTCGCCCTCGCCCTCACTGGCGTTCGCCTCACACTCTCTTGCTCTCCCAGCCAATCAATCCGCAAATCTTGTGACACCTCCTGCATCTTCTCCAGCAGGGTAAGAACGGAATTTTTTTTACTAATCGCTGGGTAGGCCTTTTGTCGGTGTTGGGCAGCCCATGCCCCACGAGTTTTCCAACAAACTCTGCAGAATCACGTGCTTGAAATCCGACATCTACTTCTCTCTACCTCAACCAAGCCAAGAGGCGTTCCCAAGCTTCGGAGTATTTCAACAGATATCAGCGGAAGATCGTGTGGCTCAAGTTGAAAGTGTGTTGACGGCGCACCTCATCGACAATAACGATTCGTTTCCGACTGGAGCCCGAGTTGGACTACCAGTATACGATAATTTCGCACCCAGTCCTAATCACGCTATTTGGAACCCCTTTCAGCCTACACATCCAATCAATGATTCGTTCATTACCGAATATGATATACAGCCGTCTGTGGACAACATGAACGCAGTAGCGATGCCGTTGTATTCAGCAACACCAGGAACCGACTTTCCATTCCCTATCCTCCAAGGACCTGTAACCCCAAAACCACGCACACCTTGCCAGTACTGTATGGAAACATTTACTCGAGTCCCTGATCTTGCTCGCCATATTCAATCGGTCCACATGGGTATCAAGCATCACTGTACCTACCCGGGATGTCCCAATAACCGTGGAAAGGGATACTGCCGTCTTGAGAAGCTTAGAACTCACCAGAAGGAGAAGCATGGATTTGCTTTGATGTAGTTCTCATTTGGTTCATCAAAAACTCCATTTGAAGATACGAAGGTATGAGGAGAATAAGCGAGGTTTCGAAGGAATAGTCTTGATCCGTTTCCTTTCGCTTGTTATTCGAGCCCTGGGAATGTAATATGGAGGAGGATCTCGATTTGCTTTTATTGCGTTTTCATTCGCTATTTTCATTGGGAGGGTTGATGAATGGGTGATGAAGTCTAGCGTTTCCTCAAACTTTCATTTTATTAATATAATTGGTTACATATACTAGTCCAAATCAGTGATATTCTTCAGGTTTGCCGCTTCTTGAGGTCCAGATGAAGTCGAGCTCCTAGGGCCAGCGACTTCTTCATGTATGCTAAAGATACGATTTTATACGACGAAAGAAGATTGGACCCCTGTAAACGAAAACAAAGCTCTAAGCGAGAACCAATTGAAATCCAAAATAATCACAAGGATGGAGAACAAGCAAGAACAGAATTCTACGACAATCGCGGTACTATCTGTATGACTCTATTACACCTCCTACCGAGATTCTTAATGCCACTGACAGTACTCGTGAAATGCATGTAGAATGGCTGAAAACGAAGATCAATTTATTGTTAATACTTTTGGCAGTCATAGGGCTGGAGATCCTCTTAGCAGCGATGGTGGTGCGTTGACTGCCTTCACATTCAAGACACATATGGTGTGACACATGACGACGCATCATCTACCAATAAATGTTATATAGAGACCTATATGCCGGATCACACTGTCGAAGGTGATATGTGATACATACCCCTTGGCATTTGGTTACATGGCAACCCGTACACTCGTATGGCGGACGATGAGTTTTAACGATGGAAACTCTGATGTGTATAATGACTTCTGTGACGGCTCAGGAATCCGAAGCTCCCTATCACGCTCATGCCACACAAATAGGAAGCTTACAAGTAGAGGCGGTTCAACACACGAACTCATATATAGGCTCCATGCTATAATTATTATAAGGTAAGTGACTACTATAACACTGATAGCCACAATACTCAACACCTGCCAGAGTCTCGCAAACCCATTTGATGCCCAACCGACCAACCAGCTACCACCCAGAAACGCCAAAATATGCTATGCCCGCTCCTTGAATGCTGTCAAAAAAGATGTCGTAGTTGCCTATCCACTCATAAGGATATCCTCAATATCCACCAAGTACAATGCATTAATTCATAGATATCCCAAGCCTTTCTGTCTTCGCCCATTTACCCTCGGAACCGGTTGCCGCATGGGAAATGCATTTTCAAAGTCCTCATCCACGTCATTATCGTCCATACCCGGTGCATCACCGCCTGCTGTTTCCTCCAAAGCTTTGTTTAGTAGCTCTGTTGCGATTGGGTCCTGTGGTGATATCGCTAAAGCTTCGTGAAAGACATAAACTGCATCATGAGGCCTCTTCTGATCCATGAGAACAAGCCCTTTCGCGCAAAACACCGATGCATCTTTTCCGCCCTGTCGTAGAACCTCGTCAAACTCCGCTAACGCCGCGTCCCATTGTTGTAGCCTTCGATAAGCATGTCCAAGGTTGGCTCGGGTCGAAATCCAAGCCTGAGAATCACTGTCAATCTCGTCCGCCACTTCTAATGCTTTGGAAAACATGACGACAGCGTCTTCAAGTCGTTCTTGGTGATAGAAAACCACACCCATCTCATTCAGCAATAAAGGATCCGTTTTACACAGACTATATGCAGTCTTCAAAAACTCGTCTGCGAGTGTCATGTTATTTAACATGTGATTCTGCATACCGAGGAATAGTTGTGGGAGATGTGTGCCCATGAAGAGCCGAGCTGCTGTTGAATATGCCGAAATAGCTTGGTCGTGTTCCCCTTCTGCTGCGAAGGTGTGCGCAAACCCTATCCAAGCAGGACCGAAATGTGGATCCATCATACTTGCTTTACTGAAATATCGACGAGCTTCAGCAACCTTGTTTGTCGCAAGGTAGTAAATTCCTACAGCAAGCCATGCACAAGGTTCTTCTGGGTGATTATCCGCCAAATCGTGCGAGACAAGAAAAAGAGCATTTTTCAGGCCGAGTTCGTACAAACATGCTAGATGAAGTGGATATATGCTAAAGTTGTATTTGTCATTTTGAAGAATGGATCCAGTAATTGCCAGCGCATCCTTGAATCTACACTGTGTAAAAAGGAGGTCTGCTTTGGCAAGAAGAAGATCTGGGTTCGTGGCGAGGTTATAATGTGTAGAGAGGGTTTCTGTAGCCGCTGTAAAAGCCGTTGGATTTTTGTACTTTGATAACCTCGTGGTATAAAGCATCTTCGTGAATTCTGCCGCTTCCTGTGACGAAGATTTATCGTCGGATATTGAGATTGCATCGAAGTCGAGTGATTCCAAGAATTCCCATTCCTCGTCTGGTGACATTAAACAATTTTTCATTAGCTGCTCGAAAGCTTCAAAGCACTGCACATCTATCCGTACAGCATCTTTATAACATTCTTTTGCGCGATCAAATGCGTTTTGCTTAGCATAGCAAAGTCCTCGAAGAAAACACATGGCTGCCTCAAAATTGATATTTGCGGCCTCATCTTGGACCCCTTCGTCCCTTTTGTCATGTCGGTCTGCCCCTCTCAAAAGCTTGGAGCCTGTTCTGCTATGTCCACTTGTATGCTGAATCTTCCGCCTGCTGTTACTCGAACTTGTGATGAGATGTGTAGGGTTCTTGTCGCCCAGAACCCCGAGAGCTTCTTCGAATCGCGATTGCTTGATAAAGCAGTGGGCGGCAAGATACCGACAGGCAGTGCTTCGAGTTATCAGATCTTTTTTCGCAAGGAAACTTTGGGCGCGAGTATAGTTGCCAGTGGAGAAATGGACTTGCGCAAGCCAGAAAGCATCTTTGTCATTACCTATCGTTATGTTAGTGTACAGCCTAGGACTTGATAGGATTTCTGGACATACCCGTCAGCGCAAACAATTTGTCTCCTATGAAAATGGCCGAATCATGTTGATGTTTATTCAGCGCATCCTGGCGCCAATCCCTCAAGAACTTCTCCATGCTGTGATGCGGGGCATTCGAAGGAAAACTGGTGAACTCATAGACAATCAGAAGACGGGTATTCAGAAAGAAAAAGGCAAAAACGTCCTGCGGTAAGTTGGTGAAGACAGAAATGCGCCCTCAAGCCAGTGTTGTTGTTGTCAAATGTTTTGACCTGGAGACGCGAGGCTGACTAGTTGGCTGTCTGCTTAGTCAGATTACTCGAGTAAGGCTGGCTGCTATCTGAAGCATTCCATCATCGCCCTCATTGATTGTCAACACATATTAAACAGTCAAAGTGCAAACACAAACACCAATTCACTACAATAACGTACATCGGCCAACACCAAACCTAATATACTGTGGTCATAAGAAATCTCAATCGTTCACAAGAGCCAGAAATACTCCTCCAAAACACCCAATTCCATTCCTGGTAGCCCAATATGTCTGAACGAAAGGTCCTCACAAAGTACTACCCTCCAGACTTCGACCCGTCGAAAATCACTCGATCGCGCGCCCCTAAGCAAGCAGGACCAAAAGTTCAAACTGTACGGTTGATGGCACCATTTCCCATGAAATGTACAGCCTGCGGAGAGTACATCTACAAGGGTCGAAAGTTCAATGCGCGAAAGGAGACTACAGAGGAGAAATACTACTCGATACCCATCTACCGATTCTACATTCGATGCACACGATGTTCCGGAGAAATCACCTTCAAAACTGATCCGAAGAACATGGATTACGAATGCGAAAGAGGGGCAAAGCGGAATACGGAACCATGGCGAATGAATGGCGGCGGAAAGCAGGAGAGTGATGAGGAGAGATTGGATCGATTAGAGAGGGAGGAAGAGGAAAAGAACGCCATGCAGGAGTTAGAGACCAAGACCCTTGATGCGAAGAGAGAAATGGCTGTTGCAGATGCGCTCGACGAGATTCGAACACGAAATGCGAGGAATGAGCGGATGGGCAAGGATGGAGTGGAGGTCACAGTAACGAGAGAGACTATTGACGAGGAAAAGAAACGGCAAGAACAAGAAGATGAAGAGGCGGCAAGGAGGGCGTTTATGCGACAGCATGAAGCTATGGAGGAAATCATTGAGGATGAGGATATGTCCGAGGAAATCGCTCCACCAATCACGAAGGAAGCTGCTCTTGCGATGCCGCCACCAAGCTTTAAGAGGGTGGTCAAAAAGAAGAAAGATCATGCTGCGGCATTAGGAATTAAGAAGAAGAAGCCGTTAGTCTGAAGGAGGGAATCGACTTCAGATATCATACTAGGGCCAGCGGCTTAGACTAAATGTATTACCAATTGTCTAATAGTACGACCCCTTTGTTATGTATTTCGATTCCTTGCGGATGCAAAACTCCATCTTCCTTGGGAATCTCAGCACGTCTGTGAAACAGTTCCCATGGGAATTTTTTGAACCTCAACTTCGGGGCTTGGGTTGATCGAAATCCGACTTAGCTCTCTGTTATCGTTTGATACCAACCACAACCAAGTTTCTTGGGCTCTGCTTATACTCAAAAACAGGCTCAACCCAGCAATCTTTTACCAGATCGCTATGCTCTATCAAGAACAGCCAACGGTCAACCGCGATCAGACTTTCCACAACCCCAGCACTGAAAGCCATTAAGGACCAAGTAACACTCAGTTCCCTTTTCAGCTCATCGTATTTCCTCCCGTACTCATCGAACTCTTCATTAGTGGCTCTTCCCAATGTTGCATCTAGATTCAGGCTTACCCCCGGACCAACCTTGAGTTTTTCAATCGCACCACGGACATAACTTGTGAAAGAACCGTAACAACCTTTTCTCAGCCCTCCAATGATGACTGGTTCGGTACTTTCAGGACCGTTCTCGTCTGCTGCGATCATTGAGACAACTCCGTAGTCCAGGAACACCTTCTGTAGTAGAGCGCGGTAGAAATGTCTTGTGAAAAATGAATCACTGTCTTTTGATGTCCAGTTTGAAGGCGCTTGTACACCCATCATCCTGGCTGTAATGTTGAATCGAATGCCATCTCCATCGTACTTTGCAACTCGCTGGCTCATAGGAAATCCATGAGGATCACAGTCAGAGAGTTCCTTTATACCCCCTGGAGGGGCGTTGATAGGTATCAGGTTTCGTCGTATATGTGAGTGCTTGACAGTTGGTGGTCCAAGGCATGAGGTGAGAAGATTGTAGCAACATCCCACTATTGCAATTGCCTGAACAGAAGGATTGAGAATGAGTGACCGAATCCCGTGATGTGAAAGATTGCCGCATGAATGTATGGAAATTGCCATAAGTCTAACATCATCGGTTTTCGAGATCTCGTGCAGAACGTCGGGCAGAGCAGGATTTCCAGAGTCCCCATTTGTCAATTGCAGATTCCCCAGAGGAGCCTCCAGCCTCAATTTCTCGATTTGAGTAACCACATTTGAAAGGTCTCCGTCCTGGACAATATGTTCAACGTACTGCATATAGCCTTTACCCTCCGTAGGAGTATAGATGGTGGCAAGATCCTTGATTGGCCTCAAATCCACACCATTCGTATCAGGTACAGTAGTAGCAAGATTCTTCTTCTCCTTGGGATTTAAATCCTCCACGGGCTTCGCAGTATTTTGAATTTGACGAAACACCTTTTTGTTCCTCATGACAATCTCCCTCTTCCCAACACCCGCAGAAACATCCATTCTCTTGGCACCATTGATATTCAACTCTTTACTCTCCACAGCCACAATATGTTTATTGTACGGCGGACAAGCAAGCGTACGACCCAGATAGTTCTGCCCACTCCCAAAATCCACAAAATGCGTGATTTCCTTTCCCGAAGAGGCCGCGACATCATCCGCAACTTTGACAACATACTCCGCAAACCGACTCACCTCATGAACCTTTTTCGGTATCATACCTACACTCACGGTCCGAGGTAACTTTCTGTCTTTCTCCTTCCCAACAGGGAGACTTCTTTGCAAAGAATGTTTTCGTATGTCCTTGACATACTTTAGCAAACTCTCTGGTGGCTCATCGTCCCTGGGAATTGATAAATCATCGCGCATGAAGAAATCTAGTAATTCCATTGACTCGCGAGCCATTAACCAGGACCGCCATTCTAAAGGGATGACCGTGTGGTAAAGCGATGGTGTTCTGGTGAAGAAATCTAGGATGTGGACGCCCCCACAAAGCGTCTGAAAAATTGTGGAGGCAGCTGAGAATTTTAGGAGCGAGTCGACGTACTCATCTGCTGTCGCGAAATCGTCGGGAAATGGAATCGGTTTCTCGGGCGCCATTTTGGTTTGCTGATGGTGGAAATGGCGAGTCGGGAATATGCGCTGCAATGGGAGTGACTTGGTTGTGTGGCGGAGGAGGTTCATGTCCTTTGATTGGTGAAAAATTATGTGAGAGGAGGCCGTGTCGCGGGAAGTTTTTAGGGTCGGGATTTAGCGAGGGGTTGAATTGTATGAGAGGTGAATAATGGTAGAAATGGAAATTTGAAGTGTTTATGTAGCTTTTTATTAACATTAAATTGGACTTCTAGAATAATCCAGCTACTATTGATACCTAGATCATTTAAGTCAATTACTTGGATTTTCCCTGATTCTTATGACAGTTGCATTTCAATTATTCTAGATAGCTAGCAAAATCGCGGATTATATACTATAGAGCTTTTGAACAATAATAATTTACTGCCCCTCGTCATATCCATGATAAGACATGAAATTCATAGTAAATAGCTTTATAGGTTTTAGCACAATTTGAGTGTTTAATCTAGAGGCATAGGCTACCTTCTTTTAGCTTAACTCAAAATCGTAGAACAATAAGAGGTAAATTTACTACCACTTTCTTGTTATCAAAAGATTGAGATGATCTTTGGGATCTCTCTTATGGGATGTCTCGCCCATTAATCATGAGAATAGACTACGATACAGCAGAAGTCCCGCGTAGGTAAACGCCTCTGATGTCACGTGATGAAGTCCGTTTTCATCTTCCAACGACTGAGTAAAAATATGTTGCCCGTAGCTTCCTGGTTTAGCTCGAGTAACGGTTGGCCTAGTTTTGAAAATTTATTGATCCATTCTCTTGGGCTATTCAAATTGCTACGTTGGTTCTTTCTAACCTCCAGCTACTCGGAAGAGTAGCAGGGATCAACCAAAAACTATATTAAAAGTTTGGAATAAGTATAGAGGTACCGGTATTCAGTTTTGCTCTTGCTACTCGTACGGGCAAGCTGAAACAAAATACCGGAACAAGTTAAAACTCTTAGAGCGGGATGCAAGAAGCAATTTCGATTCCCAATCCGGCCATCGGATGAGCATCATGAGTTTGTGGCTTGCAATACGTGACCGTGAGAAATAACGGGAAGACTATATTCGCAAATCACATCGGCCGTTGGAGGTTGAAGTACGTACCTATTCTACTTGATATATGGAATGTGTTTACAGCAGCACCGAAACTCAGTCGTGCTTGCTATTGTGGTCAAGCTGAACATTTCAGATCACGTGCATCCCAAAGGCCTAAGACCTTGAGCAACGTGAGACATCCACGGACGTCAATCGCCCTCGATGATCTCAATTGGGCTTCACTTGAGAGGCTTGTTTACTCCAATATTGATACACTTCCCTATACAGCTCCCATACCAGCCTCATTATGAACACACGGTCGATCCAACGATAGGCGGCCGGGGGTCTATCGATGCTGACCCTCTGTGCAACTCAACCCCTCCACACCACACCCACACCCTAGCCAAACCTAACCTAACTTTCCCTGGCATATTTGCAGCTGCAATTGACCAACGGCCGTTCAGCGAAGGAGTCAGGAATTTGCTTGGCCAGCTTTGTCAAAGTTTCGGGAAGTCAACACCCTTCCTAGTGCCTACTCACGTGCAATATGACGGAACAGAAACGCGGCTCGCGGGGTTATCACCGTTCAAAAATTGCCAAAGGACCGAATGGGGAACGGATCACTCCCAAAAACAGTGTTGATGGAATGGCTAGTAGCTCTGAGGGTAACTCAACCTCTTGGAAGTTTACTTGTAATACACAAGCAAGTCGCTTACATCAACCCACAGATGAAGATATGCGCAAGCCAGATCAATTACCTCATTCGCCACTTGCGTTTGAGGAAATCGGAATCGCAGAAATATTAGATGAAGATACGAGGCCAACTTTCGTCTTAGATCTGCGCCCAATCGACATATCTCACCCTAACGATCGTGGCCTGAATGTAGTTTTTTGCAACAAATCCCTTCGCTTCTGGGACGAACTTCGAGGTGTGATTGCAGCAGAGACATTTTATCCCGATATTGACTTACCAACTCCAACCTCTGTGACACAAGAAGCCTCCCAGTCGGAAGTCGAATTTCGAGATTGGGCAAATAGCCCACCCGATTCTGCAGATGGCTGGTTGCCCAGGCACACATTTCGTGGTAAGTAGGCTGGTAATGATGCTGGCTTCACTTTGCGTTGCAGCTTTTCCTCCAATAGCTTTGCTTTTCGTCGTCTCTCATTTTGCACGCAACTATTCTTATGTATCCGTTCTTTGCTAGTATATAGGGGATACTCACATTTGCTGTTAATTCACACAACTTTAAGAGAGAAAAGCATCTTTGGTCAACCCCCCAAAACCGTCTAGCTGATGCTGATTATTGACGAAAGCCGAGGTTTCCTCTCCAAAAGTTATTTTGCCTCCCGATTTTCTCGAACGATTGGAAGGCATTTCTCTAACTTGGGTCATAGGAATGTATTGGACTTGTACGACTTTGAGAAACCGTTGGCGAGTAATCAGTGCGTCCCATATACCTCACCAACGCCTCCAAAGGCGTGGTTCTAGATCGAATTCCATCTCAGCCGCATGGAGCCAGGACAGTGAGGACCAGGAAGAATCGTCCTTATCAAAACAACTTGCTGATAGCGAATCGAAGTTTAGAGTTCTGACAGAGCTGAATCCAGTAGGAATGTACTATCTCTCGCCCGAGGGCAATATTGTCTACGCAAATGATATGTGGTATCGAATTACAGGGCATCCTCGAGGGCTCGAAGCAGAAATGAGCTTCATGAACGTAATCTCGGAAGGAGAGCACGATAAGATGAAAGTCGAATGGGAAACCTTGACTACCCAACGAGTAGGTTTCTCCTTTCCATTTGCGCCTTAGTTGGAATTTCATTAAGACTTGCCGAGACACTGTTCTACGAAATTTCTGGGTCCTGAATTGATGTTTGCACTGGCAAATGTTGACTCCGAGAACTTTCTAGGGCAGGAGAACTTTTGAGCTGAGACTTCGCAATCCTTGGATGGATGAAACGGATGGGACTTTCAAACAAAAATGGATCTTAGCATCTTGCGACCAGGAATTCTATGATGATGGAAAATTGAAAAGTATCATGGGTTGCATAACAGATATTTCAAGCCAAAAGCACGCCGAGCAAAGTGCAAACGAAAGAGCAGAGTTGGTGGAAAAATTGGCCGAACGTACACAAGAAGCCGCCCATCATGCCAGGAATTTTCAACAAATGGCAGAGTTGGCCCCTTGTGGAATGGTAACATTCGATAACCAAGGAACAATTACGTGGGCAAATCCACAGTGGTACGAAATGACGGGGTTACCACGAAACGAACAGGACCACGAACCAATGTCGTTTTTGAAGTCAGTAGAGCCAGAAGATTACGAGACGTTTGAGAAAGCTTGGAAGAAGTTGATTGAAGGAAAAGAGGAAATAACCTCAGAATTGAGGGTCAAAAAGCCTTGGATTCGACACCGCGAGAGCAAAGAGGCTGATAATACGTGGATACTATTTCTTGCATTGCCTCAATTAGATGCCGACGGAAACATCGCCAAAGTATTTGGATGCTCAACTGACATAAGTCATTTCAAATGGGCAGAATCGGTCTCACGTAACAGCCGACTTCAAGCCGAAGAAGCAAAACGACAGCAAGAAGCTTTCATTGATATGACAAGCCATGAGCTGCGAAATCCATTGAGTGCAATTATGCTTTCTGCTGATGAAATTGCCAGCTCGTTCCTTGACTTGAAATGCTTGGCCCACCAGCCAGCCATCATGAGTGAAGACCAGATTGAAAGTAATTTTGAGGCTGCACAAACGATTACTCTTTGTGCTCAACACCAAAAGAGAATCATCGATGATGTTCTGACTCTTTCCAAGTTGAACTCGGCGCTACTTCATGTAACGCCAGTTCATGTACAGATCGAGTCAACGGTTCGAAGGACCATGAAAATATTTGATAGTGAGATACGAGCGCACAATCTCAAGCTCTCCATTCTTGTGGATGAATCATTTCAGAATTTGCAGGCTGATGGGGTCTTCTGCGATCCTGTTCGACTAACACAAGTCTTCATCAACTTGTTAACAAATGTAAGATCCCCATTGTCTTGGAGAGCCCATTCGTTTACAAGTCCGACGTCGTTCGACTACGGGCACAAAGATTACTATCTGTCCCTCTTCTTAAGCAGATGCACAAATATCACCATCATTCCTTACATTACCCATAGACTCTTTTGAGTTCTAACAAAACATAGGCAATCAAGTTTACACGTTCCGAAGAAAAGCGGGAAATCTCGGTAGTTCTATCAGCGTCTACTGCCAGAAGAGACATAGATTTATCATGTACCATCGAATGGTTTCCATCGAAAGAGTCGAAGCCAGATCCTACATTGAAACCTGAATGGGGAAGCGGTCAACAGATGTATCTCTTTTTCGCAGTTAAGGATACTGGTCGAGGCCTTTCTGAGGAGGAGAAGGCGAAGCTGTTTAATCGGTTTAGCCAAGCAAGTGTCAGAACTCACGTTCAGTAAGCAAGAGAATGATTTGTTTTCGCGAATTTTGTTTTGAGCTCTTGGGCCTTATTCAGATTATTTTCATTAGGGCTAACTGCCAGTAGATACGGTGGCTCAGGTCTCGGATTATTCATTTCTAGAGAGCTCACAGAGCTCCAGGGAGGAGAAATTGGGGTATCTTCAGCCGCAGGAGAAGGCAGTAAGTCACGTATTTTTTGGTTCATCAAATAAAGCTTGTGGTATCAAGAATTTGATAGCTGCGGTCTTTCGCGGCCATTATTCATTCTGCCGAAATTGACCTGATCATTGATAGGCACTTTCGTATTCTATATCAAAGCGCGTCTCTCCGGGGGACTAGACAGCGGAAACCACACAAGAAACATCTCCATCACTAGCCAGGCGTCAAATGAAGCAAATGCAGATGCACACACAACCAATCCCAGACCGCGGCGGAATTACCACATTCTACTTGTAGAAGACAATCTAATTAATCAAAAAGTGCTAAGTAAACAACTCCGCAGCGCTGGGTGTACCGTTCATGTTGCCAACCATGGGGGAGAGGCCCTGGACTTTCTCTCCAAAACTAGATTATGGAAAGAAAACCAGACGAATCCTAATAGCGAAACGGCAAATCGACCCATGGACTTGTCGATTATATTGATGGATCTTGAGATGCCTATCATGGATGGACTGGCTGCCACTCGAGCGATCCGTGATCTTGAACGGGAAGGAAGGGTGAATCATGTGCCTATTATTGCTGTGACGGCCAATGCTAGGATGGAGCAGATGAGTGTTGCTACTGAGGCGGGGATGGTATAGCATTCCCATTATCCACCTTCTTTTTTTGTTCTTGCTAACTGGGGGGGTTTATAGGATGACGTTGTTCCTAAACCCTTCCAAATACCCGAGCTTATGCAGAAGGTTGATGGGCTTGTGAAGCGGAACTAATGATTCTCCTGCCTGGTCTGATGTTTTTACTCCCTGCGAGGTGCTTGGGAACTTCTCTGGGAATTCCTTTACCTGCCTTTTTGCATCGGCTCACTAGCTTCTTTCTATCTGTGCCGGATGGATACGAGTCCTGGAGTGTGTATGCATACACACCTTTCACTCCCTCTTTGCATGATGGTTCTGGCGTCAATTTCCACTTCCACTTAATACCCCTCGTCTTTTTTTTATCCGTAGAGGGACATAACACGGTAGAGTTTATGAGATAAGATGGGATGGGATGGGGTGTGGGTAAAGGTTGTCGCACTAGATGGGTTGTGTTGTGTTGCTTTCAAGGATTCAAGATGGGTGGCTACCTTACCTAAGAGATTGAGACTAGGCGACTGAATGGGTTGTACTGGTGGATGGTTGGTTCTTGGGTCTTGGGGGTTGGGGCGCGGGAGGGGGGCTTAAGAATGGGTAGAGTAATAAAAAATAGAATGAGGTTTTTATTTATTGTTCGTTGAGAGTTGGGGGTTGGGACTTGGATGTTTATGAAATTACGGTCTTTTTTATGTAGGTGTAGGTGTGGATGTCCTTGTGTTGTTTACTACGTACTCGGGTATGAGTAAATCCTATCATATCCTATCTCTACGTGTTCGTTTTTATTAACCTATTCTATCTATCTCATCTTATCCATTCCATACCATCTGTCCCCATCCTATCTCATCCATCCCACCTACAATATTCCTATATAAGTACATAAGTAATACTATTCCTACCCTATACAATACATGAAACGAACCAAACAGGACGTTATAAATACCTAGTCTTTAAAATAAAAGCTCTTGCTACTATAACTATAACTTGAACTTGAATTTAAACTTTTCATTATAAATAAGTAAGGTACTTTGTATAGGATAGAGTTTTATATTAAACTTACTTACTGACTATTACTCTTTACTCTTGCCCTTTACTGTTTGTTGCTATTACTCACTATCGGCAGCTATCGTAGTTAATTGTTGAGGGAGAAGGAGTGGGGGAGGAGAGAAGGGGGGAGGAACGTGATGAAGAGATTCTTGGAGGGAACTTTAACTAGATGGAGGTATAGGTGTGGGATGAGTATGTATAATGTAGGGATTTTATGGTAGGGATGTGGGGAAATGGATGACTGAACAGTGTATCATACCTAGGTATTACTTTAATGATTTGTATATATAGTATATTGTGTATAGATGTAGAAATATATAAACCGGAAAAAAAAGGAAAAAAAAGGAAGAAAGAGGAATCGTATACTATATGGATTATTTCGCAACCGACTAACTGTATTGATCACTCTATCCCTGCTAAACCCCACCCCACCCCCCCTCT